CCAAAGTATAGTACAACAACTCTTGATAATCTCCTACCTCTTTTGTCTGTAACTCACTATTATTTGTCTATTTGTTTTCCTGAGAAACTATTTTGTAGATAACAATATGTAAAACAATAACCATTGATAATTTCCTACCATTTTGTCTGTAATATGCTAAGTCCCCCCTATTATTATGTTATCCTTCTTTTACTCTTTAAAAAAAAAAAAAGCCAGCGCAGTGGGTGGTGGGGAAAATGCCACAGGTGCTCCTGATAGCCACAGCACATGATGTGGGCACAGGGCATGGAGTAAGGAAAGGACCATCCCAGCAGCCAGGGTGGAGGACCGGGCAGGTGACAGTGTTGTGTGTTGTTAATGACCTAGGTTGAGTTAATTTTCAACCTTGACAAGACACATGCCAGCACCCAGGAAAGCAGCACCCGTCACTGCCGTGGAGGGGCCTGTGCTCCCGAGGTCTGCGCGATGTTCATCTTCCAAACCAAGCAGCACTCTTGGCATCCATCCTCCGGGGCCTCGGAGCTCAGGCCTGCCTGACCCAAGCCCCAGGGCACTTGTCCTGCCCACCTTAACCCGAAATCTCAGGACAGTTCTGGTGTGTTCCCTGGTTCACAGCAGCCCCCAACTCCGCCTTTCGCTTTGCAAACAAAGCCGGAAGCTCTGAGGCACAATATGCCACGCCCTTCCAGTAACCAATAAGGGCTGGGCATTCAGTCAGCCATCTATGCCCAGGGGTCTGTGCTCACGCTAGGCCTTCTGCATCTGCACTCACCGACCCCAGGTCAAAAGCACTTTTAAAAATCACATCTGTATTCAACATGTACCGATTTTTCTTGTCACGTGGTGTGCGCAGGCCTTACACGAATACTATTCCCTTTTATATGAGACTTGAGAATCTCAGATGTGATATCTGTTTTTGTTTGGTTGTTTGCAATACTGAGGATTGAACTCAGTGCCTTCCCACTGAGCTACATCTTTAGCCCTTTTTTGAGACAGTATCTAAGTTGCTAAGTTGCCCAGGCTGGGCTCAAAGTTGTGACACTCCTGCCTCAGCCTTCCAGACTGCAGGGATTACAGGTGGTATCTGCAGCGGGAGGTGCAGGATGATTGTACTAGAAATAATTTCCCCTTCCCCAGGATACTGAGAGCCAACTCTACTTCATCTTAATAATCATAGCAAGTCAAGTGTCCTTTCCTGTCCCATATTAAAGATGAGGGAATCAACACAGAACAATGAATGACACAGCCTGGAGTGGAACGCAGGTCCCCAAACAATCAGTGCAAATTTCACATCAGTCTACCTTGCCAACCCCATGCTAAGCATGTGCTTCAGCCACCCTGAGAAGGAGCTGCTGGCCTCACTGCCTGTGCGTGTTTTCATCTAGGATGTACGCTTAACACTTTGTCTTCACTGGCACAGGTGGGCAGGGCACCGAGGGGGACAGTTGTGTTCCATTTAAACCAGACCTGCCAGGAAATGAAGCCAGACAGTGGCATTCTGAGAAGCACAGCTAAGGAGCCTACTGTACCCTTCCTCCCCTCCATTAGCCAACCAGGTAGCTATCAGGGAGGCTGGGAAAGCAAGATGGCCCCTCACCATCCTCCCTCTCGGCTCTCCCCCACTCATGGGGAGGGTGGTTTTGGGAGCACATGTGCAGAAGCAATGGAGCCTGTGCAGTTCTGCTGTTAGGAACAAAATGGATGCCTGAGCCACAAACCATGAGTTATGTAAACTCAGTGACCCCACTTTGAGCTAACAGCTTGCATTTATGGCTGCATTCAAAACTGGCGTTGCACAATATAAAGATGAACCATAACGTTCATAGCAGTACCTTAAACGTTAATACTGCTCAGCGCAGCCCTCAGGAGCAGATCTCCATGGCCAATAAAGAAAGGGGTGTGTGAGTGTCCCTCCATGCACTTTTCTCCTGGGTTTTTGAACAAGGGGACCCATAGATTATGAGGAAGAGGTCTCATACTTTTAAGGAAATAATTCCACAGAAGCCTTTATTCCTTTTGGGTTTGATTAGCCCTTTTATTTCTCCCTTCCCACAACCAGTAAAAAATACAATCAACACAAATACAACGATCCGAGTTTTAAAAAATCAGAGTGCAAAGATGGCCACAGCCACTGCTCAGGTTTAACTTACATATGTACAGGGTGTGGGGTGGCATGGCCCAGAGGCATGCTTAAAAGGCAGTATCACAAAATATACAGAGGTGCTCATTCTGTCTTTACATTTCATAGAGGAACCCTGCCTCATTTCCAAATGAGACACTAAAATACATAAAACCATAAACTATTTACTACATAACTTATGCAAATGCTGTACAGGTACATGGCCATAAAGTATAAATGGCTCTGTTTGGGGATGGGTATCTACATGGGGGATCAGAGAGGGCTCGGTTTGGTACCCCAACCTGTTCCAATGGAGATGCTGGAGGACAGCGTCTTGGGGTACCACCACACCTCTCCCTTTTTCTGGATAAGGATGAAATTCACTTGCCGGGGAGGAGGTGAGGGTGGGGAGCAGAGGTGTGACAGGGCCAGGGGCTCCGGGAGATACAGGGAAGGCATCCAGGAGGAGCATTCAGGACAGGAACCCACTGCGCATGACAGACCAACAGACAGCAGTTCCGTCAGCCCTGCCTGCCTCCCTCTAGGGAAAGGCTGGAGCTTTGCAGGTGCGAGGAGAGGGCAGGAAACGAAAGCTCATCTGTGGGGAGGTAAGATGCTCGGAGATTCCAATTCCAATGGGCACCCAGGTGGGGTAGGATGGACAGATGACAGCTGACCACTAGAGGCTGGCCCTAATAAGTTAGCAAAAAACTGCAGGACTATTGCATGTACAGATGCTTCCAAGGATTCCAGGGGAGGGAGCAGGCTTTGAGGAACTGCATATCTTATTCCAACAGGGATGACTTCTGACTAAGACAGTGGCAGAGGGCAGTAGCCCTGGTGCCTGTCGGTTTGGCTTTTAAATGAAGCCAGGGAAGGAAAGAGTCGCTCTGCTGCCCTCTGTCCAGACAGGTGAGCCAAGTGTATGCCGAGCCCCTCCAGGTAGCTCCCAGGTAAGCTGCTTGGCCCAGCCATCCCTTCCCAGGTGACTAAGCCCTGCCAGGCAGGAAAGGCCTGTGCCTATGGTCCCCAACAATCCCCTACTTCTCTGGTCCTGTTGCTGTTGGGGCAGACAGGCTCCAGAATAAAAAAGGAGAGCTCTGTGCGGACACAGATGCCCCCACAGGCCTTCCCTGGTTGCTCCTCTGTCCTCTGCAATGGAAAGGCTGGCCCGGGCCTGGACACAGTTGCTACTGCAGCCGTGTGCAGGAGTGGACGTGGTCATGCTCTAATTCTCCACGGCGCCCTGCAGCGGGGAGGAGCTGGGACACGTGTGACTGTTTCTGGGTGGGGAGATTTCTGTGAGGCAGTGGAAGGCTGCAGAAGCAAAAGGAAGGTGCACGTGGCTCCTGGGGCTCCCCGGCCCCAGGCTGCCCCTAGAAGGCCGTGATGGTGCAAGAGCTCACTGCGTCCAGGGCATCGGCATGGGCCTTGCTCTCACCCTGGACCTCTTGGGTCATGGCTATGCTGAAGGCCCCGGGCTCCTTGACGGGGACCCCCGGCTCCTCCTTCTCCTCAAAGTCCTCACAGCACTTGCTGCAGCGGCAGCACTTGGTGCACCCGCACATGAGGCAGCACACACGGCAGCACACGCGGCAGCAGCAGCAGCGCTTCTGGCAGCAGCTGGTGAGCTGGGAGATGACGCGGTCCCAGGGCTCCAGCGAGCGCAGCCACAAGGGCAGGAAGTTCCAGGTGCGCAGCTTCTGCGGCAGGATGTGCGGGCAGCGGGACTGCAGCAGCCGCAGGCACAGCAGCAGGAGCAGGAAGACGACGATGGGCACCCCCACGCCCACCAGCACTGGCCAGCCAGCCAGCGAGAGGCCAAACACCGCCAGCGGGACCAGGAGGAAGAGGATGATGAGGTAGACGATGGCGAACCAGCGGTACTTGGAGGAGATGTTGCCCAGGCCCTTGGCCATGCGGATGGGCAGGCGGGTGAACGGAATCGGGTACCACAGCAAGATGCCAGAGATGTTGAAGAAGAAATGGCACAGGGCGATCTGAAATAGGAATTCGCACCCATTGGAAAGGTGAAGGGGGAGTTAGGTTCTTGGTCTAGAGTGCCCTGAAAACCTGATACTTGTACGGGCAAGGCAGGGAGGTGATCTGGGTGAATCACAGCTCAGCTTTCAGGGCCTGTGGTCTATCTAACCCAGGTTTGTCCCCTGCTTTCCTGTGCCCTGGGCCCACTGCCTGCAGCTGAGCAGGTGACAGCTGACCCAAAAGGTGGGCCAGTAGGTTGCAGGTCATGCCTGCAATCCCAGCATTCTTGGAAGCTGAGGTGGAAGGGCCACAAGTATGAGCCAGGGTGGGTAACATAGCAACAGCAAGATCCTATTCCAAAATTTAAAAAATTTGGAAAAGGATTTTCACTCAGTGTGAAGGCCCTGGGTTCAATCCTCAGTACGGCCAAAAAGAAAAGAGCCAGGTATGGTGGCACACGCCTGTAATCCCAGCACTTGGGAGGCTGAGGCAGGAGGATTGTTGCAAGTTCGAGACCAGCCTGGGCTACAAAGTGAGCTCAAGTCCAGTCTGAACCACATAGCAAGACCTTGTCTTAAAAAGACCAAAAAAAAAAAAAAAAAAAAAAAAAAGAAAGAAAGAAAAAGAGGTTGATGGATTGAAATAAAGGCTCAGAGGATCGCTGGCTGCCTGCTCAGTGGCCGTTCCAAGGCAGGCAGAGAGAAAGCAAAGATGGCTTCAGCAGCACCAATAGACGGTGCTTGCCATGTGGTGTGTGGGGCAACCTTTTCAAGCACATTTGTGCTTTATCTCAGTCCTCAAAATAAACCAAGTGGGGCTACTTGCCAGGGGAAAACCAAGGTGCCATGAGGTTCTGCTACTTTGGCAAAGTCCCGTGAGTAGGAGGCAGGCATGGAGGGCAGGCGTGGAGACGGGAGCCAGCCCAGGGACCTATCCACTTTCTCACAGGTGGTACCAGGCACCTCTCTGGCCACGGCCCAGGCAGAGTCCCCAGGAGATATGGAAGATGACATCCGGGCTTCCTTCCCACTCTTTGCAGCTCTCTGTATGCTGCGGCCTCTCACCCTTAAGTGACCACCAATGACAGGAGTCTGGTACCGCTCTCAGGACCAGATAGCCTTGGGTGTCCTCACACTGAGCTACTCAATTCCATCTCCCTGTGCTTCCCCCATGCATCTCAGTTCCATCTTTTTGAACTTAATGGAAATCATGGCTCTTGCTAGAAGCCAGTTCTTGAGGCCATGGATGGGGCTGCATCCCACCCCCTGGTCCTCCGGGCCCCTGGTCCCTCAGCCCCAGCAGTGGGTCCTGACCTGGAGTGCACTCATCAAGGTGCTGCCTGGGCTGGCCAAGGCCGCCATGATGGAGGTGGTGGTGGTGCCGATGTTGGAGCCCAGCGTGAGTGGATACGCCCTCTCGATGGTTATCACACCGATACCTGGGGGAAGACCACAGAGCACATGACATTGGCTTGGGGATGACAGGAAATGGCAGTGGTGGCCCAAGAAGCCAGGGAGAAGCTCACCTATCAGCGGGGTCAGGGCAGATGTGAACACGGAGCTGCTCTGCACGATGAAGGTCACGCCGGCCCCCACGAGGATGGCCAAGTAGCCGGTCACCCAGGAGAAGGGGAAGGGGAAGTCTGCAAGACAGAGAGAGAAGGGCGTTTCACAGAAGGCGGGAGCTGGGGCCCGGCTCTACCTCCTTAGGTCCCCAGTGGACAGGGCTTGTGTCTGCATGTGGACTGAGACTGTCATTCCCTGGTCTTCCACCCTGCATGTTCCAGTGGGTGCAACCAAGGATATAGGTGAGAGTTATGAAGACAAAAACATGCTGGGAGGTAGGGTTAGGAATACTTGAACCCACCCAATAAACTACCCTCTGCCCACAAAGCGCTGGGGCACTTAGACCTCCACAATTCCTCCCGCCCTGGTTCCCCACTCACACCTTTTACCTGTTTCCACCTAACAAAGCATGGAGAAAATGCAGTGGCTTGGAGCAACACTATGAACCCCGGCCTTCACCCCACCTGCACAACTGGATCAGGCCCTGCATGCTGGCCAGCACCCAGTCACTTAGTTCACTCTTGGGACAGCCTGGGGATGCAGATGTCCTTGGCTGCATTTCAGTGAATTTCAGGAGTATGACACCATTGCTTGGTAAGCTTTCATAGGCCAAGAGGGCTTACTAGGTGGGAGCTCCTCTTGGCCAATGGAGTCTCATTGGCTGCATCAGGAGGCTGGTATATTTATCCAGAACCACATTTCCTTCCAGAAGGTTACTGGGGCTGAGGGTGGATTTCCATTAGCCTTTCTCCATTGCCTGAGGGCTCCTTTCAGACCCAAGAAAGCCCTGGGCTTGTGTATAAAACCTGCCAAGATGGAAGGCTCTATTCATGGCTCTTTCGCTGGGCCTTCCTGATCTTCCATGGAAGCTTGTGTCCTCTCCCCAGGACACAGAACTCCTAGGACAATGGCATCTTAACTTCTGCATCTTAGCAGATCCAAGAGAGGCACCCCAGGAGGGACCCATTTGCACGATAGAAATCAAAGGATCCCTTGGGGTGACCATAGGGTGCCACAAGTAGACCAAATGGGAGGGAAACACCTACCAGTGTTGATGGTCTTCTTGATGATGGTAGCCACCTGGCCCTTGAGCACGGAGCTCAGGAGCTTGACGATCAGTATCAAGCAGCCACAGAGGACCAGCAGGGAGAGAACAAGCAGGATGATGCCCACGATGAGGTCTGAGAGGTTGGAGTTTGCAAAGATGTGCCGGCCTGAAGAGACGGACAGCCTGGTTAGGAGGACAGGGAGCCCCTTAGCCGCAGATCTCCCCCAACATCCTTCACATAAGAACAAGATCTCAGTCAATAACTGAACACTCAGTAACTGGTGGCTCAAAATGAAGTCAGCCCTTCCCAGACTCCTTTGCAGCTAAATATGGCCCTGGGAGGAGCTTGTCTGTGAGCAGTAGGCACTGCTGAGCCTGAAGGATGAAGTGAGGTCCTCAAAATCACACAGCTCATCACCAGTAGACAGGGCATCCACCCCAGTTCATTTAGCTCTAAAACGCATGCTGCTTTTCACTGATACTTAGACCAAAGCTGCCTGAACTCTGAGGTCAATGTCAATTGTAAGCCTTATTTTCAACATTCTAATATGTCCCTATGTTAATTCCAGCAAAGCATGGTTAGATCAATGATGCACAGAACTTAGAACATCAGAGCTAGTAAGTTCACGTGTGTGGGGAGGGATGGAGCTGGTGTTATCAAGGCTCACTGCTTCTCAGAGTTACTGTCAGCAGGTCCAGGAGAGAAGTAGAGATATGCAGAAGGGTGTAGGAGGAATAACTAGATGCGCTAGGTCAGTTTATGTGAGTTGGAGAAGATTCCAGGAGTGACGTGACAGCTTATTAAAAGAATCAGAGCAGCTGGGCATGTGGCTCATACCTATAAACCTCACTACTTGGGAGATCGATGCAGGAGGATCGCCAAGGTTGAGGCCTGCCTAGGCAACTTAGTGAGACCCTGTCCAAAGTTGAAAAAAAAACAAGAGCTAGGAGTGGAGCTCAGTGGTAGAGTGCTTGCCTAGCATATGTGGAGCTCGGAGTTCAAGCCCTCGCATTGCAAAGAGGAGGTGACAGAGAAGTGACGCAGACAGAAGGAGGTGAAGAATCAGAGCCCTTGTCTCATTCAGTGTCACAACCCCTTCCCTGCTTGGGACCCGCAGCACAGAAGGGACCCACAGGAAGTGTGTTTATGGGCTTCACATCACTCTCCCAACTGGCTGTCACCTCCCAGGTCAGTGACATGGAGGGAGCATCTAGAATTGGACACACTCCCATGGTGGAGGACTGGGCTTCAAGTCCCACTTCTGTCCCTTTCTGTGGGACCCTGGGCCTGTCGCCGCACCTTCCCCTGCCCTGAGAGCACACTGCTCCACGCCTGAGGCTGGGTGGGTGCTCGATACCTCCTGGGGCCTTCTTTCCTTCCCCCACGGAGGCCCCCCTCGTGTCTCAGATGGCTCCAGTGGTCAACACGGTGAGCCTCACTCACACTTAGCAATGTTCTCCTGGAAGGTCACGTTCTTCAAGGTCCAGGTGTGGGTGCCATTCACCCAACAGAGCGCAGAGGAGGTGCAGTTCTCAGACGAGGGGACGGTGACATTCATCTCAGTCTACATGACAAACGTGGCAAGTGTCCATCACACTGACTGGTGGTGGGGAGGCAAGCAGGGCAAGGGGCAGAGCAGACAGTGGCATGTGTTGTGGCCACATCCCTAACCTTCCTTTTCTCTCTGCAGGACTCGTTACCCATCTTTATAGCGCTTGTGGAACAACTCCACAAATGAAACCCGCCACCACCATTTAGAAATATCTAGTTCTTCTTGTCCTTTAGCCTCCAGTATTTAGCATCCCAAAGAAACAAAAGGACACATACAGCATGTAGGCAAGGGGGAGCCTTCCCTGACTACACAGCAGGCTGGGTAAGTTCCCCGTGTGGGATGGCAGAAAACTGTGGGCTTTTTGAGGAGGAACATTCTGGAAAAGTCTGGAAAGTCCAAGAAGCCACCTACTGCCAGCACCTATGTAGTGTGATGCACAATCCTGGGATGCTCCAGAAATGGGCAGATGAACAGCCAGGGATATGCCTTCTCTGGGACACATCAATCGCAAGACGCCAGGAATAATGTGTCTGCAGCATTGCAGGATCCTACTGCCTAAGCCCAGCCAGAACCCAGGGACTTGCATAGCAGGATCCTACTGCCTAAGCCCAGCCAGAACCCAGGGACTTTTTTAGGAATCTCACTGTCCAGTTTTGATTTTCCAGGAGCCTCCATGTTTCTTCCCCCGACTTTCTCTTTGCCACCATGAGTCAAAGACTTGGGGTTCAGATGCCAGGATTCACCCACCGAGTCGCAGGCATTCTTGGAAACTTACCACGGTGGTGACAGACTTGCACCAAATCTTGATCAGGCTCTTGTTTTGGGCCTCTGGATCATTCATTGCAATTTGGTTGATAACGTCTTTGTCCAGCTGAGGAAGGCAATGAAGATAGTCCGTAAGTGCGTCCTCAAGACAGAAACGTCAGTAGGCGGTTGCACTCGCTATAGGGCCCCTGGGAAGATGAACTTGCCCTTGAGCCCCTCCAGGCATTATCTGGGACTGTTGCTGTCGCACACCTCAGGGAGCAGCATCAGACAGCACCAGACATCATTAGCAGGGGCTCAACCCGGGAAGAAATGCCTGCACAAACAAGGGCACTGGTCTGGGAAGCAGATGTAGCTCTTCACTGCTTACCAGCGGACAGTGGAACCCAGAAGGTACAAGCAAGAGCTCAAGGTCCCAGCTGGCCTTTTCTCCCTACAGCAACGTCCACAAAGCCTCTTTCCATTTCAATGATATAGCCAGACACGAGGGGCCAGAGGGCCACGGTGGGCCCTGGGAAAAAGGAGTGCCTTTTCCTTTGCTGTGGGGACAGTACTGGGAAGTGGTCCCAAGGGTCCATGGGAGAAGCCCTAAGAGGCACTTGCCTCAGCCCCACTGCCAAAAGATGCCACATGTCAATGTCAAGAAATAGTGAAGGTGAATTACGCCATCAAGTGTCCCTGGGCTGGGGCTGCAGCTCAGTGGTAGAGCACATGGCTAGCTAGCACTGGGAGGCCCTGCAAGTAGCACAAGAAAGTGTCCTGAAAGTTCCTCCTCCTCACTGTTTTCCAGAAGCAGCCCCCAGTGTTTCCCGGCTCTCTGCATGTGCATAAACTCAATGCACCAGGGTTGGTGGGGAGGCTGTGCAAAGCTCAGTGCTTACTTGGACAATGAGCTTTGTGAAGGGGTCTGTGATGACTTTCAGAAGTGCTGGGGCCTCTTCTCCATTCTGGAAGTTGAAGCTGTTCACTATAAGCCCGGTCAGTCTCTCCAGGTAGTGGGAGATGGCCTCCAGGGGCAGGAGCACCAAGACGGACAGCCAGTTGAAGAAGTCGTGGACAGTGGCCCCTGCAAAAGCTCTAGGGAGGAAAACCCACAGCTAGATCAGTCAGTGAGTGGAGTCTTCAGTCTCTTCATTGCCACCCACCTGTGTACACGAGAGTGTTCGCTCCCCTCTCTGTGTTCACAGCAATCCTGCGCAGAGGCATGAGTATTCCCACTGCAGGTGAGCCAGGTGAGGGCCAGCCAGCGAGTTTGGGATGGAGTAATTCTCCCTCAACAACCTTGCTCATAAAATCTGCATCAAGACAACTTTTGAAGCCCATATACCTTTCTCTTGGAAAGGTGGAGATGAGTAAGCAGGTAACCAAAGCTCTCTACCTAAATGATCCTTAAACTTTTTTTTAAAAGAATCCTGAGTCTGGTGAAGCACGTGAAGTCTCCACAGGAAACAAGGCTGCTATCTGCTACTCTTTGCATCTGTCCATGAGGTTCAAAGACTCTCCCTGAATTCCATCCTGTCTCTAGATTACGTTTTCCTTTAGAAAACACCACAGGTCAGAAAGGACCCCCAATCCAAATGGACCATGGGAGAGAACAGATAGAAGAAGCAAATTATTACCTGTGGAGGAGACACTGAGCTTCACGAGTAATAAACGAAATTGATTTGCAAGCGCAGATTTTCACCTATTAGCTATTCCTATTTTCATCATGCTAGGTAATATTTTAAAAGTATTTTTATTCTTCCTGGAAGCCTGGAGTGGTGGCTCAAGCCTGTAATCCCATCACTCAGGAGGCTGAGCAGGAGGATTGTCGGGAGTTCGAGACCAGCCTGGGCTACAAAGTGAGCTCAAGGCCAGCCTGAACTGCATAGCGAGACCCTGTCTCAAAAAAAGACCAAAAGAAAAAAAAAGGAAAAAGAAAAAAGCACTATTCTTCCTGGAGAGGAAGCATATTGAGATATCCACTTTCACAGCCGGATGTGGTGGCGCGCACCTGTATTCCCAGCACTCAGGAGGCTGAGGCAGTAGGATCATTGCAGAGTTCAAGACCAGCTTGGGCTACAAAGTGAGCTCAAGGCCAGCTTGAACTACACAGCAAGACACTGCCTCAAAAAGACACTTTCATACACTGTTGATGCACTGTAAAGTGATTCAAATATTTCCTAGTAGTTTGGAAAAATGTTTTAAGAACCTTATACATATTTGAGACAGTAATTGTTATGCTAAGAATTTAAGAAAATAATCTAAACCACTAAGAAAGATATATACCCCAAGGAATTATTGAATGATGTTATTGAAAGCATATTGAGATATCCAAATCGGGGCAAGCTGAGTCAGTTAGATTTCTACATGCAGACACCTCCATAGATCTTAAATTTCTGTCTCACAGGTTACCCAGAGGCAATATTACTGTATCAGTGTAAAGACTCAAAACCTCAAACAAAAAACCTGGACAGCATCCCAGCTGCGTCCCCCTCCTTGAGTTTCAACATGAATAAAATGAAGCATGGAAAAGCCTGCTTGGCTTCATGAGGTTAAATTAGAAAACACCCCATTTCACATGTATTATTATGACCATCAGGGCATTTCATCAGGAACCAGATGAGGCAGCTTAGGACCAAGGACCAGCTGCTATGACATCTGCCAACTGCTCACCAGCAGACAGGGAGGACGCTGGCTGTCTCCCCGGCCAGCCTGTTGGATTGTCAGCTGCCAGACCGCACCACCCGATATCACATCCCAGAGACAGCCTGGGGATTGCTTCTATATTTTCATAAACACTGGTAAAAATCCATCACCAGTTAGGAGAAAAGTTTGAAATGTACGTCATTTTCACCGTTTTGGAAGAAAAGGGTTTCCTTTGCCTACATTCAGCCAGCTCTATCTTCAGATCCAAAAAAACTAATTCTGCTTTAAGAAAAAATGTGGTACAGGTAGGTAAAGCTGGCCAAAAAATATAGAGAGGTTTTCTGAAGTTATAATTATTTATGACTAGGCGAGACGGTAAATCCTACCCTTCCTAGGTTTGTTCCCATCCGCCACCCAGCAGCTAAGTTTCCAGCTAGAGCTCGTGGTTAGTGAGGCCTGTCTAGCTGCCAGGCACTTGCTAAACACTTGCCTGTGTGACTGTCTAATCACTGAGATAACACGGTGGTGGGAGATGCTATTATTATCTGGCGGTGCGGACCAGGGAGCAGGGTTCCCCGCCTTGGCCAGCCTCCTCTGTGGCCACTTCCAGGAGCTTCAGGAATGAGCCGGGCCATGACCCAAACAGCCAGGCCGCTAGCTGCCAGGGTTGAGGCCAAGCCCCCTACCTTCTGAACTCGTTCCGGTCTCCCGCCTGCATGAGCGCCACCAGGGTGTTGGTGACGGAGGTCCCGATGTTGGCCCCCATGATGATGGGGATGGCAGCCCGCACACTCAACACTGCAGTGGGAGAAAGAGCCATTGAGTTTAGTGAGGTGAGTTTAGTGAGGCAGTTCTCGTGGGGCCCAAGGCAGGCCAGACTCATCCCTACCGATGATGCCCTGAAGCGGCACTTTCTAAGCGCTTTTGGGTCATGCGCTTCACTCTGTAGCTGAGGACAGCCAGGGCAGGTCACCCTGGAGCTCTGCATGTGTGCTATCCCCCCATAATCCTGCACACAATCTTGGGGTACCCACAGGCCCCTCTGAAGCCCTCCTATGTATCCCATCTTAAAAATGGCTTTCGGTAACGGCCTCTTCTACTACAGGTACAAGGCCAGGCTGTAAAAGCCGAGGAAGGAAGCAGCACTGTTTGAGGATGCCGGCGAATGAGTCTGAAGGGTCTTGGGCACCTGAGAATCTGTTGGACATGGCCATGCTCAGTTTCCTATTTCAGGGGCCATCACACACTCTCCAGATCCCAACACCTGGATATTTCTAAGACAAATTCCTAGCAGGATCAGTGCTTTTGCTAACAAAATCAGTGGGTTGCCACCATTTTCTAAGACACGTAAGTAACATGCTTTAGCCAGGCACGGTGGCTCATGGCTGTAATCCCAGCACTTTGGCAGGAAGAACAGAAGTCTAGCTTGGACCACTTAGCGAGACCCTGTTTCAAAACAAAAAATATTTTTAAAAAGTCTGGAGGTGTAGGTAGTTCGGTGCAAAAGCCCTGGGTTCACTCCCCAGTACAAGGGTGAACAAAAGGAAGTAAAATGTTTTGAAGAAATCTTTTTTAACTTGCCCCCCACAAAATTTCAGTTTACTTTGATTCAAAATGGAGATTTGGGTTAAAAATAAATCAGTTCAAACGGGCCTCTCCCTCACCCCCTAAGAGTCTTTCCCTAGAGAGAACAAGCAACAGACAGGTACAAGTTCGGAATGACACCTCCCCAAGGCCAGTTGTCTGGAAGCCCTGTGTGAGGTGGGTAGGATCCTTGTGCTCGGCACTCAGACTGGCCCTGTCCAAGGGAACTTACTAAAGTGACGGGAATGATCCATAGGCACTGTGCTGAGTGCCAGCCACACGTAGCTAGTCGGCCCTTGAGATGTAGCTAGTGTAACCAGAAGAACTGAATTTTATATTTTAAACTTAATAAGGTTAAAATGAAATTTAATGGCCACAGTGGTTAGTGTCCTTTGGACTGGGCAGCTGTCACAGCCTCCAGAGCGGAGCTGTTGAATAACAGTGACTATTTTCCGGCTCAGCCATTCAGACACAGGAGGCCACCGGGACCAAGAGCAGAATGTACAGCACCATGGCTGGACAGGACGGGAATAATGGCCACAAGGTCTGGGGGTAGTGAGAGTAAGACTGAGGTTCCCTGGATGGACAGGCTGCCCAATGCATGTGTCCCCCCGGGGGCCCAGACTCACGTGAGGAGGCCACCATGCTCACAACGATGGACGAGGAGGTGCTAGAGCTCTGTACCATGACGGTCACCAGCACGCCAATCACCAGCCCCGCCACGGGGTTGGACAAAACGGAGTTGTTGCTGAAAAACTGCCCGGCCACCTTTCCTGAAAGGCAAACCAATGTGCACATGACAAGGGGCAGTTCGGTGGCACCGAACACAGAGGTCTCCCCAGGCTGGCCGGCTGAGGCTCAGGTGCCCAACCGCCAGCTCTGTGCGGGTCCATGGAACCAGCTTCTTCCTGCACTGCCCTGAGAGGTGGGCGCCCTGGTGGCTTCCCCCTGCCCCTCCATTCCGCCCCTGGTCTGGCCTCCCCACCTGGCACCAGCCCCTTGCTCCTCTTGTCCTCCTGCAGTCTCCCACCTCTCAACTGCTCCCTCCACGAACGAGCCCTGTGCTGGCCTTCTCTGGTCAGGACATGACCTCAGCTCCACACTGGGCCTCATGGGTCTCCTGATGCCCTAACTCTGTCTCGGAGAAGTGCTCCCAATGCAGAAGTTCCCTCAAGCAATCTTCTCGCTCTTCTCCATCCAACCCTAGCCCTAGCCCTAGAGACAGGGGGTGTGGCTGGTCCAAAATAAGGAGCAAGTGGAGCCCCTCACTGCTGCCACGGGTCAGGAAAGCAGAACTGACAGCGGGAAATCAGTGTCCCTCACACTCCCCCGGGAGAGCCCCCTGCCGAGTCCTGCAGATCATGGTGCTCGATCCAGGGCGGAAGCCGCCCTGCTCACTCCAGACAGAGTCTTTGGGCTGCCTGGGCTCTGAGCCTCAGCCCTCTGTTTTGTGGACGGGAGGGATGCTTGAGTCAGGATCCCTGAAGGCAGGCAGGGTGTACCGCTCACTGCTGTCACCCACCCAGCACACGCCGTGGCCACTCATCCCTGGGAGGTGTGTGCTGGGGGTGCAGATTCCCCAGCGGGGACTCCTGCCTTCCCATCCTCTGCCTTCCCCTGAGGCCTGGCTTTGATCTTTCCCACTTGCTTTGGCTTAAGAGAACATTGTTTCTCAATCTATAGTCTCTGAGCAGAGGGGAAGAGACAACACAGAGCCCTCAGATAAGTCTAGAGGTCGTACAGCTTCCTGCCTGGGGGTCTGTGAACAAAGGCAGAGGCTGACAGCTGGGAACCGGCTCCAGCCCCAGGTCCCGGCCTAAGCCATCCAGCCAAGCCATCACTGCGCTGCAATGGAGGGCAGGGACAGCATGAGGTGACGGGGGCAACACTTCAGTCCTGAGTCACTGAGGGCTGCAGCTCCAAAGGGCTGTGAGTTGCTGCTACCGTCTGACCCAAATCCAACCGCCGCAAGTGCACACCAGCCTCAGAGCGTGTCCCCCTACCTCCAACCAGCTGGAAGGCACTGCTGAGGACATCCAGGGAGCACACAAACAAGTAGAGCAATCCCAGAAGCAGGATGAACTTCCCAATCCCTTGGAAGATGCAGAGAATCTTCCCTTTGGTGTCTCTCTCTACAGGAAGGTGAGGAGGAAGGCACAAGGTTGTTAGTGTCTGCACCTGACACTTCTGAGCATTTCTACAGCGGCTAACAGGAGTCCCCACCCCCGCTCCGGGCCAGGTGGAGCTGGGCTTTCAGGTCCACAAACCCAGAGATGGAATGTGTCCATTTCTGCCATTTTCCAAGGAGCTACCCCTGTGGTTTGTTCCCTAGGACCTGCTCGAAAGAGAAGTGCACTTGGGAGGAGGGGTTCAGTGTGGTCTGGGGTGCAGACGGGTGCACTAGGCGCCATGCTCAGCTGAACCACAGTGCAGCCTGCTAAGTGCAGGTCAGAGATAATGACTGTGCAAAGCACCTCCAGAACTGGCATGGAATATTTCCTAGATGGGGCTGCTTGGTAGCAACCACAGCCTTGATTCCCAGGGCTTGGGCCCGACATCCAGCGATGCCTCAGCCTTCACTGAGCTTTTCCCACTCAGTTTTAAAGTGGGTCTCGGGGCTGGGGACTTAGCTCAGCGGCAAAGCGCCTGCCTGGCAAGTGCAAGGTTGTGAGTTCGGTTCCCGGTACCGGAGAAAAACCAAAAAAACCAAAAAAATAAAAAATAAATAAATAAAGTGGGTCTCACCTCCCTCCCAGCTCCCTTCCCCCATTCCTCCCTGCCCGTCTACCCATCTGGTCTGCAGGCTAACCTTGCACCCATGCTTGGAAAGCAAAGCAACATCTGCTCACACCCCAGCTGTTCCAGCTATGTATTCTGTCTTCTAGAGCCCAGATCTCCCATGGCTGTGTCCACAACACCCCCAGTAACACCCGGAGCCTGGTCAGCAGGCAGTGAATTACAAGGACCAAGACAGTGTTGATTACGCCCAATGCCCCACACACATCGAAAGCAAAATCCTCCCATCACCAACGTACTCTGACACTAACCCCTCCTAGTGAGGTGGCCTCCCTAGCCAGCACCCTGCTTCTCAAGGCAGCGAAACAATGAAAGGGGAGAGTGACCAAAGACGGTGATGGTGAACACCAGGCAGGTCCCCTCAGAGGCCTGGTGGCCTGGCGTTTTTACCTGACCACTTGATGCCAGTGTCCTGGAGCTCCGGTATATTCCAGGGGTCGTCCAGCTGGGTAGGCTCCTCTATCAGTGCCACAGAGGAGTAGGAGGGCAGAAGCTCAATGTTGGCCACTGGAGTCCCGCTGGCATCTGCTCAGAGAAGCAGCAAAGGGCATAAAGAGTCTGGCCAACTGTTCTTGCAGCCTCGCAGGGCTCTCAACCCCGAGCGCACTCACCTCGGTCCGTGTCTTTGCCTTTGGCCTCTATGCTGGGTTGCTGACCTGTGCCCTCTTTGATGTATTTCTCGGGGTCAGGCTGGGCATTTTCCAGTTCAGGCCAAGGAGCCATAGTCTGTGGGTGGAAAGACAGATTAGAGAAACAGCCACCAGAAGAGGTGCTGCCAATGGCCTTCGGAGAGAAGCCTCCCTCAGGAAGGTGTTGTGCTCAGAGCTTCCAAGTAGAGGCTGGAGGGCCCTGTTCCTGCCCTTGTCATCCTGCAATGCCACCCAGGCTGTCCTGATGTCACACCACAGCCTTCAACGCTTGTCCATTCTGGCCTCAAACCTAGATAAGCCACACATCCCTTGGTGTGTGTGTATGTGTGTGTGTGTGTATGTGCGTTCTTGCACTGGTCAGAAGTGCAGTGTACATCCTTCCTCTGCATTGTGGTGTGGTGTTCAGTGTCCTCACGACCCTTAGCAGGCTCCCACGGCAGGGGCAACCTCGGATCTATACACAGCCGAAGCAGGGACTCACGTAAGGTGTGATTTAAGGGATGTGTGATGCACACGGTCACACACAAGCTCTTTCTCTGTTACCCACCATGCAGGTCTTCTGTGAAAGTGACACCTCAGACCTGGCCTGAGGCCCCGCCGTGAGGCTCATCAGCAGGGCCTCTAGGCAGAAAGCTGCAATCTCCCATCTATAAAATGAGATAATTCTTTATGGTAATGAGAGATTACTGTGCGGCTAAAGGTCTGGAAAGTGCCTGGCATGGATCAGGCTTCTGATTGCTGGTGGTTATTACCGCTTATCAGAACCACGCTGCTTCTAGCCCTTGCCAAGGATGGCCTCGGAGCTCACTCTCTCCGTCCGCAGCCGCGCTTGGGAACTGGCTCTTGACACACCTGGCGGTCCCTCTCTGGCACGCTTCATCCTCCGACACACATCAGACAGCACAATCCACAGGACAGAGAATCCACAGAAAAGGAAGTACAAGCACCTAGAAGTCTTCCTAAAAACTAAGAGTTCACCTTTGCTGGAAAGGTATGCAGTATCAAGTAACTATCAAAGTGGCAAAATTCTTTTAAAGTTTAAGATGCTATCCTGGAGACAGCAGTGAGGAGCACTGGCGCCTCAGAGGAAAGCTCTGGGAAACGGTGGGCTCTGGGCCCAATAATTTCACTTCTAGGAACTAGGAAATCTAGGAATATTTGCTCTCAGGAAATAAATATCCGTCTTGTTCTGATCACTTCCTCCAAGAGTTCCCCAGAACCTGCGTTTTCTGACGTCTTTCCTTTTTCTGAAATCAGTCCATTCCCCTTCCTACCAGAATTCAAGCACTAACAAAAGGTCACTGCATCTCAGGACCCAAAGCTCTGCGTAGCAAACCGATGGTACCCAGTAAGTACTTACTGAAGAATGAATGTAATGGAGACCAAAAAAGACATATGCTACTCTGTCGTGTACAGATTTCCTGCCTGAGAAAACTGAGGCTCTCAGAGGGGTGAAGCATTTTGTCCAAGGTCACAGCCATGGTGTGATTTTCTCAGACTCCGGAGTCTCTGCTCACCTCTCCACCACCTGACCTGAGCCCCGGAAGACCCACCCTGAGGTGCACCACGTGCAAACACCTAAATGAAAAGGTGAGTGAATCGTGAATCAGTCAGTGGCAGGGAGTGTTACGCCGGCGAACTGGTTCTGTCTGATTAGAGCCTCTGCCGTTGATAAGGAGGAAGATGCCCCAGCCCAGTGGAGGACAGAGCCAGAGTCCCGGTTCTGTACACAGAGGTCGGGGGTCATCTGCAGCAGCCACCGAATGGATTCACCCCGACCCCCTGCCACTTCCTGATCAAAGCTTTCCAGTCTGCGCCTCCTGCCGCTAGCATCCCTGATTCTCAGTCACTATCTGATGGGCCCTCATCACACTGGGACGTGGCCCACTGACCAGGCAGCAGCTGGTCTGCCTGGCCCGGCCCAGCCCAACACGCCTGGCACACAATTCGACGCACACTCATCTGCTTCCCCACCCTCTGTCGCCCGCTACTCCAAGTGGCCCCGGTCCCCTGCCGCAGGCTCCCAAGCCCTGGGATTGCAAGCAGGAGCAGCCATGCCCGGCTAATCTTCAGGGACCCTTTGTGAGTACCCTCGTCCTCATTTTATGAATGGTGAAACTGAGATAGGGCATCCGAGGCAAAGCCGGAACTGGAACCAAAGACCTAGGAGATAAAAGTCCAGTGAACCTCCGGAAGAGTTATGCCCAGCCCCCAAGCAATGCTGACAGGGTTTGGGTTGTCAAGGTTTTGGGTGTCAAGCTGGAGCATGGGGAGAGGGTGCCCAGAATCTCAGTGCTGGGAGGTTAGGAAAGAAGCTTGTCTTCATCAGTATCACGTCAAGTGGAAGTCATCTACCTGTCAAATTAGCATCTCCTTTCCCCAGTTCTGTGCGTAAAACCCGTGCTGGGGGAAGGTGAGTCACACTGATGTCACGCCGGGCACGTTGTCTCTCCCTGACAGGTGGAGCTCGCGCGGTGTCTGTCTCTGTCTCCCCCTCCTTCTGTCCCACTCTTCTTGGTCCTGCTGGACAGCTTTGTAGGGCTGCTCTTGCCCTCTCTGGGCTCCTTTTGCGATGGTGTGATCATGACCTCAGCATGGCGCCTGGCAGCTCTTTGGTGCTCATTAAATGGGAGTCATTCCTACTACTCATCTAAAAGCTGTCACAGTGGTGTGGGATGGACTGCCAGGTGGTCACTAGGCAGCAAATGCTAGGCATTTGGAGACAGAAGGGCCAGGCCAGAGACGGACAGCTGGAAACTCACACGGCACAGTTGGGGGCCTGAGGTGAGTCGGGCAGCAGGCGCTGCCTGCACTGGGGCAGAGGCCAGACTCCAGAGCCTCAGAGCTCCGGGGGATCCAGCCTGGGCTTACAGTGAGTTCAAGGCCAGCCTGGATGGCACAGAGTCCCTGTCTCACCCACAAGACACAAAAGTCTAGAAAGCAGGGCACAAGCACACAAAGCTAAAGCTTGTATCAGGGCTTCCCATAGACCTTCGAGGGTCTCTCTGCTCTTGGAGGTAATTTCATTAAAAAATTTTAAATTATTAGGACTCTCTACCACCTTCTTCTTAGAATCTTAAGCTCTAGGGCTGCCTATCTCTCTTATGCATGTCTACTGCCTTCTAAATCTTAGAGGGCAGAAACCACCTGTAATGCTTTCTTTCCATGCCCCAAGCAGGCACTTTATATTTTTAAGGAGTCACCATACAGGGTTCCTGGAAGGAATGTGGTGATCAGAACCAAAACACCAGCCCAGTCTTCCTGGTAGGCGGCTATCCCTCCTCACCCAGGAATATGGTGGATGGAGCAACTGTGTAGAGATGCATGTGGGAAACTCCCACCAGCAGTAAAGTCTAAGGAGCACAATTAGATGTTTGCTGTGAAGGCTTAGAGTCCTTTTCCTTACCTAACTGAACAGAGACATGCCTCATGAACACAGAAGCAGGGTCATTGAGAGCCCAATAGTATCACAAGCCACAGGCACCAGCTGTTCGCAGAGAGACCAGGAAAGACCAGAAAGCGCAGGCTGGGGGTGTGACTGGCCACACCTTCAGTACCTCTGTGTGGGGCCTGCGCTGGCTTCTATCAGCTCCTGGACCTCGTTCACTATTAAGTAAGTTACTGCCACCAAAAAGCAAAGGCGCTTTTCTGTTGAATGTCCTGACTTCTCAGAAGTCTTTCTTCTCCCTATTCTGAATCCAAGTATTCGTTATGAAACACTTCCCCGATGAAGCAATGATTTCCTGCACTGGATGCTTTTGGTTCAGGTACCTTCCTCTCCCTCACTGCCACCTGGCCGGACCGGGCAGATCAGCAAGGCAGCCCCAGGCCCCCACATCTCGCTGCTGCCCCCTCTCGGCAGACATCCAGCAAAGCTGTCCACTCCCTCCTAGCCCTGCCCAACCCACAGGGCCAGCAGCGCCTACGAAGTGGGCAATGTAGGGCACCTGGCAGGCACCTGGAAGCCACATGGCCGCTCTGCTCCTCAGCTTGGGCACACAGGCCCCATTCACCAGCGCCTCTCGGCAAAAGCAACCAGCATCCTGCAGGTCCCTGGAGCTGCGGCCTCCGGAGACCTCGGTGTGTGTGTGGCTTGCAGGGAGGAGACAGAACCACAGGGTGGACGGGGCTGGCTGTGCAGAGGCCCGCCCCTCCTGAGTCTCAGTTTCATCATCTCGAAAAATGCGACCCTGCCATCTCCTGGGAACCGTAGTCACACAGGGCTTTGGGAACGCATTGCATCAGGAACATGAAAGAGTCTGGGCCCTACCTTTGCCCTACGCGGGACGCATCCTCCCCAGCACTCAGCGCAGTGCGACCCTCTGTAAATATTTGTTCATTAAAAAGAACCCAAAGCATGTGAGAGAAAGGTGCTAACGTTTGTCTTGTGATAAGGGAGTGTCCTGGGTGGTTTAAATCTTCCGGCTGGTGCCGGAGTCAGGAGTGTTCCCACAGAACTGACCACAGGGGCTGGGAGGAGGGGAGACTCTCCGGCCCCGACCCCCGTGAAGCACCGGGGCACAAGCGGTCTGGGCCGGGCTCTGGGAGCTTCTGGGAGAGCTGCGGAGGGCGGGGCCGCGGGGCCACCCTGAGTAGTCACCCTGATGAGCAGAGATGCTGGCCACGAGCACAGTAATGACAGGCTGTGACTCTGCCAAGGCTTCAGGCAGCCCAGAGGCCTGGACTCAGCAAATGCCAGCCTTGTAGGAGCCCGCACTGTGCCCAGGAGGTGGGCAGGGTGCGGCTCGGATCTGAGCTCACTTCCCCTGCTTGCTGAGCAGTGGCTCTGGGGGATCGCTGGAGCCCTAGGTCCCGCCCCCAGCCTCGGTGCAGCTGTTCCCTCCTCTCCCCGCACAGCCGGCCGGCTGCACCCACCAGCACCTTCTTGCTACCTGCCAGCAGCACAGCAGGAGGGAATCCTCTGGAGGAGGCTGGGGACCCAAATGAGGCCCCAGGCGGCACTCACATCTGCCCCACCCTGGCCTGGCCCCCACCGGTCTCTGCAGCTGAGCAGGCTGGGACCCTCTCTGCCCCACTTCCTGCAGCTCTCAGGGCCCCAGCGCCAAGAAGCCTCAT